GTCGGCCTGGGAGGAGAACGAGCAGACGCAGTAAGTGGTGGGAGGGGGTGAGGAGCGAGACACCCCCACACGACAGGGGGGAACCCAGGAGTCCTGGCTCCCAGCTCCACCAGACCCCACAACCCTCCCAGAGCCGGGGAGAGGGGTGGAGCCCAGCTCTCTTGAGCCGTGTGCTGGGGTGGACGGTGTGAGAGTGCCCCCTAGTGCCCGGCCCTGACTGCTGGGGAGAGCGCCCTCTGTGGAGCCCCCCGCCCCGCTCCCTGCAGCCCAGCCCTGCCTGGGGGGTGGGCGCTGCGGTGACGCCCGGCCCTCGGGTCCCGTTGCAGGGCAGCCGGAGGCCGGCGGAGGGGGTACATGGGCCACCTGACGCGCATCGCCAACGCCCTCGTCCAGAGCTCCGAGAAGGGCCCTCACGTCGCCCTCGTGGGGCAGCTGCTGAAAGGTAGGTGCGGGCGGCCTGTGGGGGGCGCCGGGCCAGCGCTGGGCACAGAACCGGCCTCCCGGCTCCCTGCCTGGTTGTGGGCCTGCGGTGACCCTTAGTGGGCGGTCAGTGGGGCGCCCTGCGCTGGGGGTGTGTTCTTGCCCCCCAGGGCCGGTAGGGCGTGGATAGGGGCTGGGGCGCCCGATTCTGTGGCTGTTCCCTGCCCCCCAGGGCCCAAAGGAGGCGGATGGGAGGGCGTGGCTGGGGCGCCCGGCTCTGTGGCTGTTCCCTGCCCCCCGGGGCAGTGGTGTGGAGCTGTGGCGGGGGGCTGCCGCCCATGGGGGGCGCCATCTCACCCCGGTGCCCCTGCCGTGGCAGAGCTGCCGGAGGAGGAGCAGGAGCGGTGGGAGAAATTCGTCTCGGGGCCCCTGGCAGAGACCAACAAGAAAAATGTGGTGGATCTGGTGAGTTCCCCCCCCTCCCCCCAAACTCCACAGGCCCACCCTGCCCGGTGCTACCCCCACGTCTGTCCAGCTCTCAGCTCCGATGCCAGCTCCCCGGTCAGCCCCACGTGCCCGCTGGCTTCCTGCCCCGTGCCGACCACCGTGGAAGCTGCGAGCCCATCCTTGCTCTAGCGTCAGCCCCGTCTTGTAGCAGGGAGTTCCGCCGGCTAACGCCTGAGCATTGTCCCGGGGCTCTGTCACATGTTCTGAGGGACCCACCCGGCCGGTGCTGCCCCCCATGGCTGGGAGGTATCGGGGAGAGGGATGGGACTCACTGCCCCCCCCACCCCCGTACCGTGACCCTAACGAGCCCTGGCACCCCCTACAGGTGAACATGCACAATCTGCACTCGTCCAGCGACGACGAGGAGAACGACCTGAAGGAGTTCAACTTCCCCCAGGAGGCCGTGCTACAGCAGGTGGGTCTGCCCCCCCCCCCCCCC